TTAAAAACGAGATACACACATTCATACATAGGTATCGCATAGTATCGTCTCGTCAAACTAATTATTTCTTCAATAGATAATACTTTATGTAGGTCTTCAATCATTGTCAGAAAGAGTTTTCAAATTAGGGCCGTGAGTAATGAGCGTATTCGAGTCGTCAGCTCCTAATTTGCAAAAGGAACTTAATCGTATAAATCTCTCTCTCTTTCAATAAACGTAATGAACAGTTGATATGAAAGAGAAATATTAGATTACTTTTTAAGAAAAATTAACACCTATTAGTTCAGTTGTTAGTAATCCTGACTCCTGAACCAGAGGTCATTAGTTCATTTCCCGCTCAAGATAAATATTCTGTCACCTGTTCTGCGTCTAGGTGTAATTTATTAATAATATTTATATTTTTAAAGTATGTTTATGCATATATATATAGTGCAGACCAGCCTAGTTTGGAAGCAGACGGCTGTGTGGGGTATTACTCAGGTTACTATTATACTATTATTTTTATTTTTGAAATTACAACTTTTACATGATACGAAATTTTTAGGAAACCACAAAACTAAACTAAACTCTTCTCTACTTAGAAATCAAAAAGCTGATAGTCTGCATTTATGATATTAAATTTATAGTTTATTAGTTGATTCTGTACAATCTCCTTCGAAGACTAAAAAAGGTTCAGAAGTTGCTCACAGTTCATATCACGTTCAGCGGTACATTTTTTTTAGTTTCTAAAATTAGGTAACTGAACTTACACGAATATAAACGAGTCTTGTATTGTACCGCACAATTTATACATGCGTTGCCTGGAATTACTCCATGTTAGTGTAATTAGGTTAGCTGTGAATAACAGAATTATAACAAAGTCTAAGCTTCTAACATTATCCAAGCTTATCCAACGCTATTCTACGTCAGTTTTTCATTAACTTTAACTGAAAAAAATCTGCTTTATTTTAACGTTCTTAATTATAGAAATTGTGTTTTAATATTCATTTTCTGCAATATAATGTTCTATGTAATGTACATACGAATATAAGGCACTAAGTACCTTTTTTAGCTGATCCTAAAACCCTTTGCCTGTTAACTTAGTACTTATTTCATATAATTGTAGTAAATTATTAAAAAAAACAATTTATTTTATATTGCTTTTTAAAGATAACTAATAAGTTCAGTTATTCTTTTCAAATTTATTTCACCCTTGTGGCCGTAACTCGTCGTATAGATTTATATATGTACTTTAAATGTGTCGTAATACTTTGAACCTAGTCTCTATTATATTTGAAGATTCATGAATGAATGGGCACCAGAAAACATGATTAACTTTTTTTCTAATATGTAGTATAATGAAAAGCAATTTTGCATTATTACTCACAGATAACTGGGATAAGTCCGACGACGCGTGGAATCTGCTTATAGGGTACTGGTGGCGCGATTACTGATATGAAATGTGAGCAGTAAGGGTGCCTGCTAAAACACTGATGAAAATACAGCGGGACAGCGCACGTTCGGCTTGATATTGATTTTGGGCGGCAACTTAGCTACGCCACAGTAGCGTCATCTTTACCTCTAGCGCATATTCACAAGAACTTTTCGAAGTTGAATTTTTACGACATATAGATGGCGCAGTACTTTCACCCGCTATATAAAATATCCTATCTATTGTAGTTTCTTGAGAATTACGGATCCATAATTGTTTTTAATTAAGACATCACTGAAGATGTACTACGAAATGATGAGCGATTACATATACACTTAAACGGAAATTTCAATGACAAAAACACCATAACTTTTAAGAAAATTGTAAACTTATTTAGGTACGTAAATCTCTTGAAGCTAATCCAGCGTCTGTGGCCACACCCTCGCACTCCAGTATAACGTGAGCGGCCGTTTCCTCTACAGAGGGAACTGTTCTTTGTATTGCGTGTGCGTAGCTGTCGGATGAGGGCAAGGTGTCCCGTAATAATTCCTACAACTACTCGGATGTCTAGTCTACTAAGACTGATTAAACTGTTTAGTCTCATCACTAATAATATGTAGACAAACAGCTGATTATTCGTGTTGAGACTTCAGTCAGCACTAATTTGGTCAGTGTACTTCCCTACTCCGCTGCTTTGCACAGGAGCGAAGTTGGTTGATGGGCAGAGCCAGAAGTGTGGTTGGGCCAAGGTATTTGTTTTTATGGTATAGGTAACGAGCAAACGGTTATCTGATGGGGTTAAGCTCCGGTAACCACCACACACTTGGTGAAAAACCAAAAAAAAACTGCTAACACTTTTCTGAGGGGCCATGATATCACACCAATCGAGCCGGCCTATTTGTTCCGAAGCATGACTCTCCCATGATAAATTAAGTGGCTTGCCTTCTTCTTACTGAGTTCTGTGTAATAAAAGTACACAGAAGTACAGCCTGCGATAGCGGTGGCCTTCGTATATATACTGAAATAAGAAGAGCTTCTGCCCGACAAGCTTGGCAAACTGGTAAAATACTGGGTGTCCACCGGAGGCGAGCTGATAGTGGAGTTAGCAGTTATGCAGGACGTGCAGTCAGAAAACGCAAGAGGTAAGCGATTGGTTAAATACCTTTTCATTACAAACTTTTGCATTATAAAAACAGAGTCGAAACCGAGTTTTGTCACTGCGCGAAGTAGAACTATTGTGATCATAACTCTGGTAACGCAAAATGTTTTTAACACTACATATGACTGATATGTATCAACTGAAGTAGTATGCTTCAATTGATCCATATTAGCATATTACTATCTGAGTTAGATAAGATCCTTCAGATCAAGTATTTCACTGAAACCCATACACGTGGTTAAAAATAAACACCAAACTTGGTGGGAAACGGGTTTTTTTTCCTAATAAATCAAATACCTGATACACACAACCATATATTTAGTTTGAAACTAAGCAGAGTTTGTACTATAAAAGTTAGATTGATTAATGGAAAACTTTTATACTTTTTTGTAAAAATATACATTTGATATATAGAAAACACCCAAACAACCAAAAAAATATTTGCAGATTTTTACCCACTAAAAAGTTGTGTAAGTTTTGGAAAAAGTAATAGTCGGTAGGTGCAAGATCTGGTGGTCACATCTGCAACCAGCTTTGGTCAATCGGTCGTCCCCACTGCTCCTTCACGACAACGATACTGCGCAACAGACAGTCTCCAAGCTGCAAGAGCTGGGGTTGGAAGCTCTCCCTCATCCGCCATACTCACCAGACCTTGCACCTACCGACTATTACTTTATTCAAAATTTAGACAACTCTTTAGTGTGTAAAAAATTCAATTCCCGAGAGGCAGTACAAAATGCCTTTGAAGAGTTTGTTGCCTCCCGTCCAGCTGATTTTTACAAGAAGGGCATCAATAAACTGCCAATGCGTTGGCATATAATAACAATAACAGAAATAAAAAAGTTTGAAAAAATAAGTACTTTCACTTATTGCATACAAAACGGCAATTTCATAGGTAAAGACCATATATATACATATATATAATAAATAAATAAAATAAAATTAATCTTAAAACTATTAAATACTACTACTACTATTATTTTATCTAATTTTATACAGTAATCTGTGCGCTAAGTAGTAAGAACCCCTCTTAATGTATATATATACATCTTTCCGTGTGGTGACGGATTAAGAATACAGAGTGTCACCGCCCCTATTCATCCCGTGGGTGTCGTAAGAGGCGACTAAGGAAGCAAACTACGCTGGACAACAGCACTGCAGAGAGAAGAAAAACTTGAAACAAACCCTATACTAACCCGTCTGGCCAGCGTGGTATAGTAGGCCAAAACCTCCTTCCTAAGGAGAGGCCTATGTCAAGCAGTGGACTAGTAAAGGCTGTTGATGATGATGATGATGACATCTATATACATTGTACTTGTTAAAATTTACATCAAAACTATTATTATGTACTTATATTATTTTTTGAAAATGAATACGAGTATCATTTAGTATATAATAAAATTACCATTGTAAGAGCGCGTTGAATTCTAATATGTGAGCTACGCTTAATCTAACACACGCAAGTACGTAGCAATAACATTATTTCTTAGAAACAATACAATACATTTCTTTCTACGAGCTCTCCGATATCTACCACTTTAACATTTTACGAGATACATAAGTCTGTTTGACCAACGTTTTTCTACTTAAGCCCGTCTTGTATGCGAATACGAACAATAAAAACGTAGCCGGGAGTATTATCGGCGGGATCTCGGTGGTATACCTGATGGTATACGTGTGTGGGTTTGTGTGTATAAGTGTGGGCGTGTGTCGTAATATTGCAGCTTGGCGCGGCCGCCGACGCAACGTTGCGTAGTCACCGCATGTCCACACTGGAGTTGTTTTGTCTTTGCTGGACATGTGTTTTATTACTGTAACATTAAACACAAGCGTTTCTTCTATCTAGCCTTTGCCACAAATGTGTTCTAAGTATAAGAACATAACCATTTATTAATCCGAGTATTTGGAATAAACAATGCACTGACCTCGCTGCACCTATTAATGGAAGAACTCTCTTATTTCAATGCGAGAATTCTCATGACGCCTTTTCTGGTGAGAACTCTATACCCTGAAAGGAGTGAAAATATTACATGTAAAGATTAACAGGATATTATCACGACTTTTTCAAATCTACTTTAATGAATATTTTTATAAAGCTTTAAAAGCCCATAGAGCCCATGGTTTTATCAATTTTATGCTTAATTTGGAGATATAAGATTTAAACGCTAACTAAGATATCCCAAGCAAACTAAATTACTGCGAATTATTCGTTTTCTGTGCAGTTCTAAGATCGATTACTTGCTTTAAAACAGATTTAGTGTGAACGCGGCCCACCACAGAAAGTAAAGTCCGTAATATCGGCGAGCTCGTGGCATCGCAGTGTTGCCCCGCGCCGCGCACAGACCGGTCCGCCATGTCGCGCTGACAAACACCGTACAATCTGTCAAACTGACAAGTGTTTATATCCTATTTGACTAACAAGTAACAACAATGGCAATGTGGTCAGTGTTTACCCTCTTCGCCAGCGTTTTGCTGGCTTCTACACAGGCACAGGTAAAGAACACAATGTTTACCATATGAATTTTTTAATATCGATACTGGCAAGCAACCAGGGTCGGACTATTTCCCCTAGAGGTTTTTTGTAAAGTTCCGATATCCAATTATACCGAATGTCGTCATCCTAAGAGAACAATATACATATATAAATCAACAACCTGTTTGTGTTTGCTTTCAAATTTGAAGTTCATTTAAAAACTATAAGAGACTGTCAAGTTTTATCCATTTAAGTTTTAAAGTATTAAAAGTGTTTATATGCATCGTGTAACAAAATGTTCACCATCTCGCCTTCTGCTCAAGATCTTGTTGACTCAAAAGTTATATCATAAATATGTGTAAACCAGATCCGTACGAGACTTATTACCTAATGGCATGACCGAGTAACGTAAGCGGTTTGAATAACAAACCATTAGCATAACCTTGATAAAGTTAACCCACAAAATTCTATTCATAAAATTTGTTGTTTCATTATTTAAGATATGAAACAAAAAACTTGTTGGCATTCGATTAAATGTAACACAATAACATTAATTGATTTTGTTATTGTATAAAATATTTATTAAACATAACAACATGTTTATTAAATATATCAAAGATGGGTAGTAAATACGAATCACGGTCTAAGTATATTACGTAGATGGGTAACTGTTGTAACATTGTTATGTACGAGTAGATACGCTGACTGTAACTAGTCATAACCCACATTTCTAGCACCAATGAGATTATACTCGTACCTTACATTACACCATTATATATACCTGCACTATTGTATCGGTATTCGATGAATGTTTCATGCAAATGATCCCGAGGAAGGTTGATCAACTGTCAGCTGCAAAAACCTATTTTAAATACCTTCGCTTGTTTTACTATAATTACTCTCAATTTATGTAAGTAGGATTGTTTTTATGTTTAATTACATAATTAATCATCGGCCTTGGATGTTAATATACATAAAAATCCTTTTAAAAAAAAGTTTAACCGACTTCAAACAATACTAACAAATAGCACTAAAAACCTAGCAGAAATCGAGGTTGATTTGCAGTCTTTTCTTAAAGAGTTCCCTTGTCTGTCTCCGAAACTCATCAGATCCATATGAAATTTAAGTAGAACCATTTTGGAATAAACCCCTTTCGAACAAAAAAAATATTTCGAAAATCCTTCTTAATATGATGGAGGTACGCTGCAACATACATAAAAAAATTAAACATCCGAATTGACAACATACTTCTTTTTGAAGTGGGTTAAAACTAGCTTTTGTCCGAGTTTTCGCTCGCTTTAGAAGAGATTTTTGTCTTGGAACAGTTCTTTTTTCTAGATGATGGTAGTAGGCCGGGGTACCATTCCCTATATTCTTCTGAATACGGTACGTGTAATTTTATGGTTGTCGGTTGAATAGTTAATGCTCAAAAGATTAACAAACAAGAAATACCTTTGCATTTAATAATTTTATATAAATAAATGGATGTGACTTAAGTAGGGATATACCTATTAAATTACAAATAACTTTTTCTTATCATACAAATAACAATCTGTTTAGGACTTAGAACCTACCTTAAAGTACCTACTTAAGAAATTGAAATTTCTTCGCTGATATTTGCATAGCATTTCTAAACATCTGTTTCATATTATTTCCCAAAAGTTTTTTACCTATTGATAAATAAAATTCTCTTTAACTACAGTTGGAATGACAAGACCCTTGGTGCTAATTTATCTTAGCTGTGATGCTAGGAAATTGTATGAATGTAGCTGTCTATTTCACGTTCCCTCTCAATTGAGCTGCAAACATTACATATAATTGTAATTATAGTTTTCTCTTCCTACTAAAAAACCTAATTTGGTAATATTTACGTAACCAGGATTATCATTCTGAATACAATGCTCAACAACGTCAAGTTATTAAATAATGGGTCAATAAATAAGTTCTATTTGAAAGTACATTTATTATTTATAAGAGGTTCATTTCAACATTAACCAATTGTTTAAGCTACAGCCACGAGTGGTACTTAATCAAGCAACAAACATAGGACAGAAAACACTGAGTTATGTAAGAATACATAAACTTTGTTTGTATTGAGAGTCGCATACATTTTAACCCACTTTACTGATAGTATAAATTACCAAGTTCTATAGAACTCGAGTAATATCTCCATACAAAGTTGAGCTATATTTTTCTTTGTCACTATCACAACATAACAACTAAATCTCAAAAAGTGAATAACATGTTTAGGAAACCATACAAAAACCAATGGTAACGCAAAAAAATATTTTATACCTACTATTTTTTAAATTGGTGCTAAACAACTTATACTTTGTTCTTCTTGACAGGAATTTCTTTATGGATTTTTTAAACAACGTACTCCGTTTTCGAATTGGAATCCTCTGACTGTAGGTTAGTTGTAGGTTACTTTTAAAGTTCTTCACTTAAACTCTCTCTCACGTTTGTTAACTCATTGTAAACAAACTATTTTTATATTAATTTATTTTTAAAGGATGTTAATCATTGAAATTACAAATTGCTATCTTAGATAACTAAGTGTGTATGTAAAATAATTCCTGCCTTCAATTTAGGCCGTATTAGGTCTGAGCGCAGCACGCCAATGCCAGCGGCTTCTACCGACGCGGGCGCAAGGTCACAAGCGCCTACGCATCCCACGCCTTAGAGTAGCAATGCTGAAATTCTCCACGCTTTTAAGGTTCAACTGCCTTTTTATGAGCCAATCTAGCAGCTAGTGTCTTTTAAACTTGATTAACCCTTTATTACTTTCTTATGTTAAATAATATTACCTAAACTAGTATATCAGATTTAGTTATTCGTATACTTGGGTATAGGTAACTTCGTAACTAAAGGTTATATGTTTCTAATTTATGTAAGAGGTTAGTGTTTGTTCATTCATTCATGGAAACCAACGGTGACTCAAATGACAATTGTGTCAGGCCCTATAGATGGATGTTCATTTTATTTGTACAATGAGTCACACTAAATACTTATGATTTTTATCAAAATTAAAATTGATTAGTCATATTATAATAAATATGACCAAGAACGATTATTTTATAATATGCGTGTCAGATATTATTTCTCACATATAACACTTTATGTTTTTACTATTTGTATCTAAAATATTATTATTTATGATGGAATATAAAATGCGTTTATTAGTATTTACTGAATATTTATTCAGACTTCTTCATAATATTTTGCTAGTTTAGTTCATCAATCTTCAAAATCGCTAGACCGATTCTGATAATATTTTACTGCCAGGTAGCTGTCTATATAAGGAATAAGGCTATTTTTCCTCTCAACAAAACCCTATAAAATCTTGCCCAGTCCGGAAATCGTACCCGAGGCCTCATGGACTGCAGCCGGACTACACGTCTAATAATAATAATAATTTCACACATTGCTCACACGGCAGAGCTTATCAAAAGTAGAAATATCGAAAAAATGAGTGTATGATTTGCGTATGGCAGGCTGGCTGAATGCCTGGCAGGAGCTGGATGCGAGAAGCCGAAAATCGTTCGGAAGACCAAAATTTATGGGAGAGGTCTTTGTTTCTCCAGCAGTGGACTGATGATGATGACTGTACGACTCTTTAGTCCTTGATCTTAAAACTACCCATAACTTTAGAAACTCTTTGAGTCACGAAACATAGATCTCAAGCATGTAATATTTATAAATCATAAATATACAAAACTAAGTCGTGTTAGCTACAGCATTTATAACTCAAGTACGGCTAGACCATTTTTATTTTAGGATTTGTCTTCGTTCGGTATAGGATAATAAGTATTAAAATATGATCTTCAAAAAAAATCTTTAAAAAAATCATAAAACATCAGTCTAGCCTAGGTATAACAACACGCAACTGACAGCTCACGTAATGTTGTCTATGGTTTGTTTTGAAAATACCGCAAAACATTGAAATTGAAGTTGATCGGTCGATGTGTTTTAGTAGGGAAGGGTATTCCCTTGAAGGGATTTCGGGATTTACTCGAACGTGTCAGATTAAGATGGGGGAATAATAACTTACACCCAGTTGAGTACTTCCACCATACATGAACTCTTTGGATGTGTCTGGCTTACCACCGCACAATTTACGACTAAAGGTTGACTCGGTAGTAATCATGCTTCGAAACATAAACCAACCAAAACTATGAAACGGAACGCATTTGTTGTAAAGTAAACTGATGATCAATGTGATTCACGCGACTATACTCAAAGAAAAATTCAACGGTGAGAAATTCTCATTCCGAGGATTCCGATGATCCCAATATGCCGTTTAAGTTTAAACGACTTCAATCGCCGATTCATCGTGCATTTGCCATGAAGATTAACAAATCTTAAAGCCAATCCTTGAATGTTTATGGTCTGAATCTAAAAAATGCTAGGTTTTCTCGTGGGCAATTATACGCGGCATGTTCATGGATCTTAAAACCAATTGCTTCATTTGTTTTTGCGCCTGATAACAAAACGAAAAATGTCGTACCTTCTGGATAGCAAGGTGCTTTACTGAAGAGTGCAACCCATGCACTAAAATACATGGCCAATAAAGCAAATGTTTTGCTGGCACGTCATTAAAATACTAAATAATTTTGAATTAATTTTTAAATCCTAAATCTGCTCATTCATTGACTCTTAGGTGGAACGAAGTTCACCGGGTCAGTTAGTACTTTTAATAAAACACAGTTTTATTTATAAAATAACTATGAAAATATTGAACTTATTCTCTTGTTTGTTTATTTTTATGTATGAATGCCAGTTACAGTCACATTAATAAATAATTCGATTTATTATCTTCGTAATAGCAATAAAACAAGAGTCATGCTTTGATATAAACTAGAAATATCTAGCAAATAAAAGTGTTATGAGGTTGTCAGTATTTTATTTTCAAACCTGTAATAACATTTAAAAAAATATCAAATATGCGTAGATGTATAAAGTAATCTGTTCTTGTAACATAAAAAAATTTAAGGATAGGTTTCTTAAAGCAAGGTTGCCG